ATGCCTGAATTTAATAGTACTACAACAAGACAAAATAACATACATGTTTAGAACACGGATAGAAATAGAATGGCCGCTGATTATTGTACATTATTGGTACCCGGTCGGTGGCAAACAACAGAAATGCCAAATCGCCAGTCTGCACGTCCGCGTCACTCTGTCCTGTAGTGCACAAATATGAAGCATGGTTCCTAGGTTCTGATTGTGCTTTTCTTGTACCAGCTGTCGAACATTTTTCACTTCGGAGACCATTTGTTGTTAGGATTTGCAGTAACTCTAGGTGTAGATCAGTGGATAAACTTAGATAGGAAATTTGATGATGTACCTCGCCCAGTGAAGTCGTGGCCATGGCGTCGGCGAGGAAGTAGTAGTAGCTTGACGCGCCCGCTAGGGTCTCGAAGAAGGCAGGAGTGTAGGCGCGGTCTAGAGTCAACGAGGAAGGCGGTGGAGCTTTCCGTCGCTCATAGCGCACCATCACGATCGGACTAGGGTTAGGACATGGTGGGACGCTTGCGGCTGTGGTGAACCTCGTGTTTCGAGCCTCAGCCCCCCCTTCTATTTATAGTGCTACGCGACGGGGGGCCATCAGCCAGGAGTACGGCTGAGCACCCCCGATCAGGGCGCGGATCAAGGGCCCAATTAACCGTTGGGCCAACTTGGTGAAGATCAACCTAACATTCTCCCACTTGATCTTATCTTATGACTTAAACTCAACTTACTTTATATTTTTCCCATTCAATCACAGATCAGTGCATAGAGCGCGTCTCATCGTCACGGTCAGTTGTCATTAGATTTAACAGCTACAATGCACCTCTCTGTTTTGAAACAGATTCTCAACTAGGTCCTTAATATCAAGAAATCATAGGCTTTCTCGTAAACTCATGTCGACTGTGTGTTCTCTGAACGCACTGGGTGGTTAGCCTTTGGTAAGCGGATCCGTAAGTACTTGCTTGGTATTTATATGCTCAATGCTTTCAAAATAATTCTGGATTTTCTCCTTTATAATATATAATTTAATGTCAATATGTTTGCCAGCACACTTGACATGTTGTCTTAGGAGTTAACTACTTTAAATGGTTATTGCTATTAACTACCATTGTTAAATCCGGCTACATATTCCCTTAGCCACTTTTGCCTGTTCATGAGGTCTCATGACAAGCTCTACTATGATATGCATCGTTGATGACACCATAACTGTTTCATTGGAGCTTTTCCACAATAATACTCCAACTGCGAGTGTTAGCAACTACTATGGATTTCACTGCACATCTCGCCAAAACTTAACATTTGTACCCACAACTATTTGAAAGTACTTGTTCTTTCTTACTCAGCATGAGGCCTATGATACTTTACAAAAATTACAAGACATTCTTAACTTCATTCCAGTAATCTATATCTGGACTGGACTTCTGCCAAAATACCCTGGATACGTAAGCTATGTCAGGATAAGTTCTTACTTGTACATTCATTAAGCTTCCAACAGCTGAAACATATGGAACCATATTCATTTGATCGATCTAATATCGGTTCCTGAAACACTGAAAGTTCTCAAATCTATTACCCTTGACTATAGGAGTAGACATAGGTTTACTCACATGCATACTTTATTTCTTTAGAATCTTTTATAAGTATGCCTTTGCGATAGTCCTAATACCTTTTTCATCTATCTCAATGAATTTCAATTCCTAGAACCAATGAGGCTTCACCAAGATCATTCACATTAAAACTTAAGGACAAAGACTTCTTTTTCTTCAATGACAGATTAACATTAATAGTGAGTAGGATGTCATCTATACACATGATGTGAAAAACGAATTTTCCATTCTAGAACTTCGCATAAACACTATTGTCCTTCTTATTTTCTTTAAACCTAAACTTTTTTATCGTTTCATCAACTTCAAATACTACTGTCTAGAGACTTGTTTTAACCCATAAATGGATTTCTACAGGAGGCATCCCATACGTTCTTTTTCTTCCATGACAAAACCTTTGGATTGTGCCATGTAAATGTTTTCATACAAATCCCCGTTGAGGAATGCCGTCTTTATATCCATCTGATGTAACTCTAAATCGTAATGTGCCAATAACACCATTATGATTCTAAAAGAATCCTTGCATGAGACTAGAGAGAAAACTCTCATCGTAATCTATTCATTCTCTTTGCGTAAAGCCTTTTGCTACAAGTCATGCTTTATATCTTTCCACATTCTCTTTAAAGTCACATTTTGTCTTATAGACCCTTTCAAAGCCTATTGTTTTGGCTCCATTAGGAATTTATTCTAAGTCTCAAACACCATTGGTATTCATCGAATTCATTTCAACTTCCATAGCTTCTTGCCATTCAAACGAGTAAACGATTCTCATAGCTTCTTCAAATAAGGTGGGATCACCCTCCATTTGAATTTCTTCATTAACATAGAATTCATAGTTATCAGAAAACTGGTTTACTAATTCTTTGAGACCTGTTGGGGCCTCAGGTACTGGCACTTTCATGTGGGGCTGTTGTTGCTCTTCATTGCTAAGAGGCAATTGATTCTACAGGCTCCTATATCATAAGATCCTTATTTACATTATTTATCTTCTTTGAAGAGCCATCAATAGGTGTTGTATAAGTCATACAACATCAACAGGTATCGAGAAATTCATTGTTTTGAATCACTGAAGTGGGCACGCAGTCCCGCTCCTCTTCAAGTCATAGGTCTCTACATACCGTGTTCCCCCAGATCGTCCCATCTTTTATAAAGATAGTGTATCTTCTAATTTCTTATTTGGGTTCAATCTGTTAAAATCTTATATGGTGTTTTAAGCACCGCTTTAAGATCTTTGATGGTGAGTACGCTATCTTCCTCTCGGAACTTAAAAAAATACATGAATTTAGTTGTTTCTCTGCTTAGGGGTATCATTGTTATGACCGACGGTCACATTCATCAAAATCTTTATCTCACTATTAATGAAGATTAGTTTCTTAATTGATCTTAATTCTTACTCTTAACTCATCTCACAATTCTCCCCCTCAAAATATGGCATGAACTATACTGCCATAATTTAGAGAACTATTCAGAAAACTGTGAACGAGGAGACACTTATGACTTACTTCATTCACATGATTATGCCATGCAAATAAAGTTATTTCTTGATCCGTATAGGAGTACACTTTCCTAATTCCACTTCAAAAACTTAATGAGGTCTTTTATTAACTGTACTTTTGCAAGTCACGCTTGCATCTTTTTCTTATCATTTGAATAGTATTGACTATGACGGTGCATTTCTACTGTGCCATGGTCAATACTAGGATAGCATAAGAGATACCTAAACTTCTCTCGCTATGCAGGATACAAAAATATATGAGTCATCATAAAACTTCTCCCGCCATGTAGGATTGACTAGCATAAGTACTATGCCAAACTTCTCCCCAAGCGGGATAAATCTATATACAAATTACCGTAACGAAAAATTTAGTCAAGATGACTAAAACATTCACTTATACTTTATTTTTCAATTAAATCTTTCCGTTGGTTTTAATTTAATCAGAAAATTAGTAAACTAACAAACAACTGTCCTAAACTAGCTTGACTCGAGTATTTTCATTCATATACCCCAGCATTGCAGCCCATTGGAATGCAGCCGAGTGATCTTGTCGGTTAAAAAATAAAACTTACAAGATGCTTCTGCATCAATTCTACATCACCGTTGGGCAGAAAATAGAATTAATGCATAAAACTCATAAATTAACTTTAAAGACATATAACAACTCTTCAAAATTAAATTCCCCCGTTGGTTCGAATTTAATTAGAAGATTATCAATATCATTGCAGCGGAAACATAATAGTATAATACATTCTATTAGTTCAGGAGCATTTCTTGATCCTTATCTACTCTTAAAAAATTGATCACGTTGGTGTAAAATTTATCAGAGATTTAAACTTCAAACTTAAACTCATTATAATATTGTTATCATCAATGTTGGTCAGAAAATAACAATACCATAATTTAACATAAATAAATCGGACTACTCCTCTAATTTAAATTTTCCTGTTGGTTCCAATTTAATTAGAGGATAAACATAATCATAATTTACTAAATAAATATAACTACTCTTTAAATTAAATTCTCCCGTTGGTTCGAATTTAATTAGAAGATAATAAACATTAAACTTTACAGTGAAAATATGAAAAAATAATTTATCTACTTTTCAGAAGCATTTCACTGTACTCATCTACTCTCTGAATAATTTATCCCGTTGGTTCAAAAGTGAATAGAGATGAAAAACTAATCAAAATTTGCTTCTGAAAATAATAGAACAAAAACTCTACGTTTACTATTCATTCAGCCCGGCCTGGCGAAACAGTCTGCGGCCCAGTCCGCAGCAGCAGCGCGTGGCCCACTCGCACCCGCGCACGGCGCCTCCCCCGCGCCCAGGCCGCAACCTAGGCCTGGCCCGGGAATCCGCTACCCCGCCTGGGCCAAAACTGGCCCGGCGAATCCTTGCCGTCCGTCTTGATCCGACGATCGCCCGGCGATATCGCAGGTACAAAACCCGGTCTCACCGGTCGCCTCCCCCTGAACCCTAGATCATTTCTTCCCACTCCCCTCCTCTTTCTTCGCTGCGGCAGCCGGCTTTCTCTCCCTTCTCTCTGAAAACCATGACGGTCGGATATGACGGCGCCGCGGCCGTTCTTTATGTTCCATACAGGATACTGGGATTACTATATGAGGTCAAATGCTTTATCAGCTCTTGTTGTAATCTACTACAACTGTAACCTGCTACTCATGTAACAGAACTGCAAAGTTTTTTTTTTTTTGCATCTCCTATCAATCAAAGGTGGGGAGTGCTCCTCTCACGCCCCCCCCCGTTTCCCTAAAAAAAAGGTCAAATGCTGACAGTTTGAATTAGTACAAAATTGACTTTGAATTATTATCATGCTTTATGACAATTTTTATCTTGCCAAATGTTTCTTTGTGGAACAATGTAGACTGCTTCGCCTCAGAGCTGGACATAAATGGATCTGTATGTGTTTGCAACGCCATACAAGATAGCCTGGGATTACTATATGAGGTCAAATGAAAACCACACTTTTGAAATCAAAGCGTGGGAGGAAGCAGCTGAAATGGAATATGTACGTTTCTTTTGAAGGTTCGCTTCTCTTTACTTTCAGCATTGTCGCTCGGTGTTTCCCAGTAATCCTAACACTCAATGTGTGCACCAGGTAAAGCAGCATGGAATTGCCATTTTTCTCATGCCATCTGGAATGCTTGGGACGTTGTTATCCTTGATTGATGTCGTGCCTTTGTTTTCAAACACCGGTTGGGGCCAGGATGCCAACTTGGCATTTCTTCAGAAGCATATGGGAACTTCATTTCAGAAACGTTCTGAGCCCTGGTCTGCGAATATAAGGAGAGAAGATGTACATTCGGGTGACTTTTTGGCCCTTTCAAAAATCAGAGGGCGATGGGGTGGATTTCAGAAATTGGAGAAATGGGTGACCGGCGCATTTGCTGGGCACACTGCAGTTCTCTTGAAAGATGAGAATGGCACCCTCTGGGTTGCAGAATCAGGCTATGAAAATAAAAAGGTAGTATTTCTCTGAAATTCTTAGTTCAATTGATAACTAGGACTTTGGTCGGCGTGTTCGGCTCGCTTGTCTCAGCTTGTTTCAGCTTATTCTCTCTCACATAACACTATTGAATCAGCCAAAACCAGCCGAAACAAACTAGTATACAGTAAAAAAATGTATCAGCCGAACGGGCTGATATGATTTAAGAACAATTGTAATGACAAACACAAAATTTGATTCAGCCTTAGCTGTTTGATGCAGCAAATCTTTGGTAAGATTTCCTGTTCTCTGTGTAGCGAAATGATATTAGCCCACCAATAAAATTATCAACATTTGTTTACACTTTTTGGATATTTAGTTTTCACATAATCATAAACTCTGCTAATGCACGTGGATGACAGGTTTGGCATTCTTTTTTCCATACTAGAAGACTAGAACTGATTTGATTGATGAAAGGTCCCATTACAGACCATCTTCTTTTATCCCACCAAGTTAGAAGTTGAATCTAATCTAAGAATACTATTACCAGCCTTGATTACACCTATGTTTAACCCAAACAAGGTGGTTGGTAGATATAGACTTTTGATGTAGAGTTTGGCTATGTGTCGCCTCATTATAAAAGAGTAAAAGACTATGGTAGAGAATGGAGCTTCAGATCAGTTGTTTGTGCTATGGAAAATTGAAATTATACTCTCTATCGTCAAACCTTAGTACTTAGAGCTTCATGCGCTTAAAATCTATAAGCATTTCATCATATTAGTAATTGTTAATTTTTTATGATATCTGGCAATGATGGCAGGGTGATGAAATCATTAGTATGACTCCATGGGATGAATGGTGGGGAATGGCACTTAAAGATGACTCAAATCCTCAGATAGCACTTCTGCCATTGCACCCTGATGTAAGGGCCAGATTCAATAAGAGTGCTGCATGGGATTTTGCGCGAAGCATGTATGGAAAACCCTACGGTTATCATAATATGATATTTAGTTGGATTGATACAATGTCAGACAATTATCCACCTCCTCTTGATGCTAACCTGGTACTGCTTTATCTTTGTTAAAACTCACGTTTGGGTTCCTTCTGCACCATAGGCTTTCTTTCTGCCATGTCCATAATTTTATTCATGATGGTATTTCACATTCTCATGTTTCTGAGATGACATGGATACATATTAGAAGTGCATTACCAACATTATCACCCTGAAATACAACAGGGGTTCCTCTTATGAACCATACCCATTTTATAAATTTTAATTGAAAATTGATATATAATATCAACATTCTAAATTTACCTGAAACTCACAAGCAGACAAGCCATTTGCTGACACAGCTGTAGATTGATAAGCATTTGCTGACATTGAAAAACTTCCTATATAATGCCCAGATGAATTTTCTCTTGGCATCATTTAATCATGAGCAATATGAGACTGAATAGAGATATATATAATACATGGGTTTCTAAATAAGTTTGGAGAAATAAGAAATGAACAGTGTATAATAGTATGATGTGTGGTGTTCTAAACAAGCACCATGCTCGGATTCTGATATTATAAATTTGTACAAGTGCTAAACTTGTTCATTGTTGAGGTCAAGGCCTTTAAGTTTCAAGATAAATCTCCTACAACTAAAAAGAACAAAGCGTGGACACTTTTTGGTGCGACGTTTATTTTGGATCTGCCTCTCCCCACCCTGTGCGATCCGCAAGCGCTACGTCAGCCTGCCTTTCACTTGCGATCCCTCCCCCCTCCCACTCGGCCACAACCATGAGTCCACGACGCGCAAGGAGATAAAAACGGAAAGCCAGTGCAATCACCGCGAGGAATTGGCCTTCCTCCAACGTCGCTAGGCTTCAACGCACCCCCGTTGCCGTGACAAGCCCCGGCTCCTCGTCCTCCCTACCGTGCCGCCGCCGCATCCTCTCCCTGAGCCGTCGACCTGGCCGTTCCCGCTTTACGTTCGTCGGATCGTGGATTCGGGTGGGGCCAGCGATGCCGGCTCGTGGATCTGGTGCGGTGCCCTTCGAGATCCGGTGCTGCGAGGCTCGGCGAACTGCGGCCAACAGTGCCCGGCGCGGAGAGGCTCGAGCGCCAAGCCGCCAGCATGACCAGCAAGCACCAACGCAAGCACCGCCGCCGGTGACAACGCCTTCGGCTCTGAGCACCGACGATGCCGATGATGAGGCCGCAACGTTCCGTGACATCCACACTCTAACGCCCGACCCGCCGAGGATGAGGCCCCCACGCGTGCGGGCTCTGCATCCTGTCCTGGGACACCAACACCGACCACCACTCCTTCTCCTCTTAGGAACAGTACATGACGATGAGCCGCGAGTTCGCGACCATGCTTGCAGCCGGGGCGACCATGCAGACCGGCCCCAGCACCAAGATTGAGGTAATCATCGATCAACGAGGCACAAAGCTTTTCTCCTTTTTACCTTTTTTTCACCTCTGCTGAAAATTTCTCTTCTAGATTGTCATCGGTAGTGTTGACTGCTTCCTAAATTACGCAATCAAGTCTGTCGGCAGTCGAGCTTCACAGTTCTATGATTCTATCGCAAGTACAGAAAAATAAGTACTGACAAACTCAATCTCTATATACGTACACAAATAAATCTCTATTGGATGTAAGTGATCTCTACCATTAACTTTATATTCTCTAGAGCATCAACAACTCAACCAGCTTATCCTAAGTGAGTTACTTGATTTCATTTCATCTGTTAGTCCAGCACGATGAGTAAATCTTTAGTGACTATGGAGAGCTGATCGAGGTCATGTGCTGTGACTACAGCAAAAAGACTTGCTGAATTCCTTGGAGATTCCATGGTTAAAGACAGAGGACTGCATTGCTTATACATCATTGCTGGGCAGCCACAAGTAAGTTTTGAAGCGTTCCAATAATTAAAATCATTTAGTTCTGCAGTCTACACATCTTTAGATTGGGATAATTGCTAATGTTATGTTTATCATGATCTTTCAAACATCCGTGCTGGTACCCTTCATGTGATACTTTCAGCAGCTGGAGGAACATCCGATGATTCATTTCCTATTTGAAACAATTTCTAATTAGTTTTCAATATTAAGCGAGTTCGATTATCTATATTTATCTTGCCCATGATTGACTTTCTTAAAATATTTTGGGCACTCTCGAGTGAGCGAGCTTGCTGTTCCAGTAGCTATATTTGAGACAGATCCTGGTACCATTTTATGTGCAAACTTCCGCTTCTACATCGCTCAAACTTTTCAATTTACTTATATTTTCTTGCTATCAGTGTACTTTGCAGAGATCGCAAAGCATTATTTAAGGAAGTGGTGCAGGATCTGCTCTGATGCAAGCATCTAATCTAAAGATATTTTGCCACATTTTACCTTTTCTTTTTGTCCAACCTGTATGTGTGATGTTGGTCTTTAATCCAAGATCAATAAGCCTAGGTTTCAGATACTTATTCCACAATGGTATTTGAATCGATGAAAGAATATAGATTTTGATGTCATTGTTTTACAAATCACCACTACCAGATTGAAGCTTGATGCCCATAGCGATGGATCGCTTCCCTTGGAGCTTCCATTGCTTTATTTCCTGCTGGATATGCCTCACAGGATCTTCTATAATTCGATTTATAACTCTACCCATTCACAACAATCTTTTGGTGACCTGAAAGGTTCGTAGAGCTAATATGGTAATGTCTTTTTTCTTCAACTTCTGACTGCTACGTATCTATATATGTTAGATTATATTGAATCTAATGGATTCACTGAATTTGCATACAATGATTAGAACTTAACAGTAAATCATAGATCTCCGACCTATTGAATTGGTTGCATAGACATGGCATTTTCTCAAGATGCTGTAATTATACACAAGTTCTTCTCAAGTAACTCTGGCCTGCTCCACAGTTTTATGTTCTTCTCAAGTAACTTCTGCCCAAGTTTTATGTTCTTCTCAAGTAACTTTTGCATAATAGTTGATCGGTACGCTGCGTTGACAATCCTATGTGCTTCATCCTTTTTAATCATGGCGCCTTTAATCATTACCCAAGTTTTTATTATCTTAATTTTTTTATTCACTCCATGGTCCCCAAGCATTGTGGAGTCTACTGGCAGCCTGGCATCATTTCTTTAGTCTCAACCTGCTACTAAGACCGTTACCAGTTGTTTGTGCCTTATTAGCGCATCTGTTGCGTTACTTCATTAACTTGAGGTGGCATGTGTTCTGCTACAATTAGTGATTTATTTGTTTTCTTCTTCTTTATGTGGGGTTTGATTTGTCAATTATCTTTCTGGGACCCATTTTCCAAATATGGCACTAACATATATTTCTTCTGACTTAGTCATAAATCAACACTGAAAATACTATTTTGCCAATCTGAAAACTGGTAGTGAGACTGAACTTCAGCTTGCAGGTTTTGTGATGAATATACTAAGCAAGCCCTTCTGAATATCTTGATTAGAAAATCTATGTAGTGAAGGATTTTGCATTGTTTTACATATTTCTTACGAACAACCTTCAAGACATTGTTGTGCCTATTCAGAGAGGTATGTCTCTTTCTTGAACTTGAAACACATCCTTGGATGTCCTGACAGTGTGCCTATTCAATATTGTTTCGTCACACCTTAGATCAGAAGCCATGGATATACTTGGTCATTACTGGATTCAACTTGGTCACTCCTAAATTTAGAGGCGCCACAAGATTGCACAGCAAAACACAAGCCAGTATAAGAGGTTAGCAAGGGCAAAGGTTAATGCATCTTGGGCAATTAGATGTATTCTGTTTCTTTTCTATTTGAATACTTGGTGCTATGGTTATTCTTGTAGAATATTTGTATTCTGATTATTAAGCTAATGGCATAGTGTTTGCTGCAATGATGATTTCTTACTGCTGATATAAAATATTATCTTAGCCGTATCACAGAAAGGTCTATACAGTAGAGTTTGTGAGCCTGCGACACGGCATTCTCCATGATTGTTAATTTCACGAACTTTGCTTTTTGGATTAAATATCACTTTATCGTCGGTATTTAATTTCACATTATTATCATCTTATCATGTGATTCCGTGTGTTTTTAGTATAAAAATTTAGCTGTCACGTAGCAACGCACGGGCACGAACCTAGTACTAAGACTAAGTTTCATTTTGACCCTTGGTTAAGCTTTATCTATTTTTTAAAAAACTAATATATTTTTATCCTAGACATATCTTTTCTTCACATAGTATTTCATCTGTTCATATTATTGTTGTGCTGCACTGTTCAGTTCATCATATTTATTAATCGCAGGTAATGGCTATTATGTCCATGTGGACCAGATTGCAGCCACACTATGCTTCTAACATGTGGAATGAAGCCCTTAATAAACGACTTGGGACTGAGGTATATATCAATGTCATAGCACATCACACTTGAGCTGATGCGGACTTGATGACGATTGTACAGTTTGTTTCTAACATGTAGTAATGTTATTCATGTGAAGTTCAGTTCTATGTTCTGCTTCAGTAGTCCATCTTGGTATGCATTATTCTATTGCAACTTTTACAGTAAACCTGATGGCTGAGGTGTTCATTGTGAACTTGCTATTGATCTGTGGTTATTCTGGCCTGAAACAGGGGCTTGTCCTGACTTCTGACCAGTTAACTGTATTGCTTCTGTGAAGCAAGTAGTTTAGTTCATTTTCATCCATTTTATTTGCTATATTTCTAGGATGGAAGTATTCGAAGTGAATAATGCTTAATGACTGAGAAAACATAGTAAAACTGGTGAGGCAAGGTTTGCGGAAACGAATGCTGAGTAAAACTGGTCGGACTGCAAGAAACCTACTCCCCAGCGGCCACGGCACTCTTGCTTACCAGTGTGATTAGAGTTTTTCGCCAACACCTCGAGCTCTACAGTCTTAACAACAGGAAGGGTCAGAACGCATTAACCCTTTTTACATATAAAAACGGAGAAAGAACAAATTTGTTCAACCGAAACAAAAGAACAAGCTTGTTTAAACGAAACAAAAGGGTTGAAACTTGTCCGCTTATTACAAATGTGTCACCTGACATATCTGACTAAACTAACCCCTCAGGGGGATGATTTCATCTTCTATCTTGGCAGAAAGGTCATGTGCTAGGGGGCCACCTCCTTCTCGATGTCGTCCAGCTCGGTGTTGGTATAGACGGGCGCGAAGCCTTGGCTCATCGTCGCCAGATCGATGTTCTCGTAATGAGAACGGGTGATTGCGAACGATCGGTGAACGCCAAAGCGAAGCGCGCCCCTTGCCATATCACGTGCCCGGTCCGTGATCTGGGTGGCGCGAACCGCGAGCGAGCTTGTCTCCTGCTCCGGGGCCAGCTCGAGCTCGTTGTAGACCAGCTGGACGGCGACGCGCAGGTTGTCGTGTTCGTCGCTCTCCTTCTGGAGGGTGTCCTTCACCTCGCTGAGCTCCTTCTCCAGGCCACGGCTCTTCACCACCTCCGCCCCGAGCTTATCATCAAGACCTGCCCAAGTCACGTACCGACCGTGTCAAAAGGCTTACCATGGATTCTAGGGAGAAAGACAACAAGGGAAACCGGAGATTTATTGTTCACATCCGCCCGAAACCTGCACACCTCATCGCGCTGCCGGGTCACCTCGGCCACCAGGCGCTGGACCTCTTCTTGGTGCTGACCGACCTCCGCGGTGAGCCCGGAGGACACGCCCTCAGCTGCAACCTTCAGGTCCCTCTCCCTCTGAAGCTCATCCTAAAGGTGGTCGATTCGCTGCTGAGCGTCGGCGCGCTCCTGGCGAGCCAGGTCAATCCCCATGCGGAGCTCCTCTATGGCTCGGAGCAAATCGTCCCGCTCCTTCCGTAGCTGCTCGGCCTCCACGGCTTCTGTGCGCACCCTCTCGATCAGGGCCGTGAGCTTCTCCTTGGCCTCATGGGCGTCGTCGTGAACGTCCTTCTCCCTGACTCGAAGGTCGGCCACCTCTCGGGCGGCAGGGGCAAGCTCAGCCACCTCCTGATGGGCGACAGCGAGCTGTGCGGCCAGCCCCTCACTCCACCGCGTCTCCCCAGTAAGGAACTGGGACTTCTCCCGGCTGCGGGCCATAAGGATCTGCGAAGAAGACAAGACTTAGAGGCGCGGGAAAGAGAACATGAGGGTCGGAAGCACAGTCATATCATACCTGGCCAACCAGGGCGACAATGTCACGCATCGAGCTCAGCATGGTGGTCAGGGCACGAACCGCGTCCCCAACCTCCATGTGGACGCTCCCCCATTCCATCTCCTCTGCTGCGTCATCGAGGGCAGCCACCCAGACTAGAGATCGGGACGTCCCCATGCCGACCTCAAGCGGCGCCAACCTCTCTTGTAGCGACAGCTCCTCTAGAGCGGCTCCTCTAGCGATAGAGGGGGCGGGTGACGCGGACACGGAGGCCTACCCTGTCGCCACATCCGCGAAGGATGCCTTGGGTGTGCCCCCTTCCGTTCGCCCCGCCGTAGACACGGCCACCTGCACGGACGATGGCTTTGGCCGTGCCGCCTCTGCATGTGACGTCGAGGACACGATCAGACGCGCCCTCCTTTGCCTGCTCTCCCATGGACGCAGCCATCGGCTGCGCCTCCCCGGTCGGCGCCGTGGCTGCCCCAACGCCACTCACGCTCACCACCGGCGCAACGCCAGCCGGCTCCTGGCGCGTTGGCCGAAGGAGGATCTTTTTTGAAGCGAGCCGCAAGAGAGCCCCACGTCCTCCAACGCTGCAAGGGACATGGCGGTCAGTTCACGACAAAAATTTGTTAAGACAAAAGGACGAAAAAACTCTTGACTCACCCTAACACCATCATGCGAGGACGTTTTGGGGCTGGCTTGCTCGACCCCAGCTGCTCCTCGTTGGCATGTTGCCGCTTCGAGCCCTCCCTCGGCTCAGAGGGCTCGGAGGAATCAGAACGGCCGCCTCCCGCCGACTCCGGAGGCACCACTGAGGGCTCGGACGGAGCGAGGCGACCTGTTTCCGCCAGCTTCGAGGCCACCATAGATGGCTCGGACGGAGCAGGACGGTCTGATTCCACCGGCTCTAGGGCCACCGTCGAAGGCCTAGACAAGGCGAGGCGGCCTGATTCCGCCGATTCTGAGGCCGCCATCGAAGGTCCGGACGGGGCAGGGCGGTTGGATTCCGCTGGCTCCGGGGGCACGTCCTCCCCCTCCTGCCCCATGGCATGCAGCATGAAGGGCCCCGCCTGCGGTGAAGGCGATCCTCATCCCCAGCGGCCAGATCATCCTACGGGATGGGCGACCCGGAGCCGTCATCCTCCTCCTCCTCTTCTCTCGATGAACCTTGACGCCGCTTCCCTCGCTACAGCTTCGCTCGCTGCTTCGACCGCCGTTTCTTCTCCTCCTCGTCCTTCTTCTTCTTCCTTTGTTCATCCGCGGCACGGTTCGCCACCCTCATGGCCGCATGCTTTGGCAGCGGCGCGATAGAGTCCCGAAAGACTAACCCCACCGGTAGCTCGATGAAGCCCGCATCCGGCCACATCACGGGATGCCCTGGGATCGGGAACACGGCGTCGGCGTCCCCCGTGGCCTCCTTGATGCGCTGCGTGACCTCGCTATCATGGAGCAACCCCTGGGCGAGCGTCATCCCGACGAGCTGCGCGTCGGGTGTCATCCCGTACAATGGGAGGACGCGCGCCATCAGCGGCGCCACCCTCCTCACATGATAACCCCCGATGATGCTGGCCCCGCGGAGGCCATGGGTCTTTAGGAACGCGATGGCCTTGAGGAGGTCGCACATCCTCTTCTTCTCCTTGATGGGTGGCCCCCATGGCCATGACGATGGTACCTCTTCGACCAGGCGCCCGGAGAAGACTGGCAAGGGAGCGGCAGGGTCGTTCTTCAGGTAGAACCAATGCGAGTGCCACCCCTTGTTGGATCTGGAGAGCTGGCAGGGCATGTACTCGGCCGCCCGCTGCCCCCAAAGGTGGATGCCCGCGTATCCCATCGGCACTGGCATCTCCCGGCCTCTCTCCTTCTTAATCAAGGAGATGGAGAAGAAATATCTCCACAGCTTGAAGTGGGGCTCGATCCCCAGGTCCCTTGCACATCGTGATGAAGGCCGCGATGTGCTGGATCCCGTTGGGGTTCAAGTGCTGCAGCTCGATCTGATAGTGGTGCAGTAGACCTCAAAAGAACGGGTGGGGAGGAACCGCGAGTCCGTGCTCGTGGAAGGGCGCGAAGGAGATGATGTAGCTATCGGGCGGTGCCGGTGCATCCTCACGGCTGGGCACAAGCCACTCCGCCGCATCGGTCCTCAAGTGGAGAAGACCACGCTTGACGAGGCCCTCCATGCCCGCATGGGTAACGTCAGAGCGGTACCACGAATCCATGGAGGATGGAGGCGGTTGCGGAGAAGCAAAGGCGACGATGGAGAAGTGGAAGCTATAGATCTAGGGCTCCGGTGGCGGATTAGCAGGCACGACAGATCCGAACGCGCGGCGATGGAGAAACGGAGAAGGTAAGGTTGTGGTTTTGGTGTGTAGAAACATGAAGGGGAGGCCGCTATTTATAGGACGGAGCGGGGCGAGAAGGCGAACCATCCGCCTAGGTTCACGCGCCCGCTGCGTCGCGTCACGTCACGTCACCTCCCTCTGAAGATCATGCGCACGCTATCTCTAGCCGCACCCTCGAAGGACACGCCGGATGACGGTTCGCCTGGTCGATGGGCCAAGAACCGTCACAGGTAATGAGGGGTACAGAGCTGAAAACACTCCTATGGCCCATTCAGGACTAGGAGTTCGAAGGTTGGCCCGCCGATGGGTTCATAGCCGCTTCGGGGCACCCTTAGAGCGACGGGTGGAAAGGGATGGGCCCACTAGCGGCCAGTACCCGGGCGCATGAGCGCCACAGGCATCCCGGCCCACGTTTGAGTCTTGGTCGGTTCCTAGTCCATGGTTTTTCCTCAAAGAAAGGCAACGAGCCCTTGGGACCGGCCGAATGGACCCAAGAACTATATGGATTGGCCGCCAAGAGCCTGGAGTCGGTCACCAGCTGACCCATGCCGGACCCCCATGAACAGGAAGTCGGGGCCCCACTCGGACTAGCCTGTTAATAGCTCACCGAGCACCATGTTTTGTCCATCGAGGGAAAACGTGGCACAGCTCAGCCCCTCCGTTTTATCAAAAAAACGTTTGAGGGATGACAATCACGAAGACGAGCCGACCCTTGACCGGACCCCTGCTACGCGCGGGGGCTCGAGGGAAGTTGGACTCATAAGGAGACCGAACGCGCAGTCCAAGTACGACGACAGACCGATCGGATCCTAGGGGACCGGAATCAAGAAAAATCTTTCCGACCTCCTGAATCCTATGGTTACATGCCCCCAAGAAGACCGATCATGACAAAAGGGAATCACCGCCCTGCCAAGACACGTCACGGGCTACAAAAGGAAGGCTAAGGCCTTCAGAGTCCTCTCATCCGGAAAAGCCTCCAAAGGAGTATTCTACTCCTCCGTAGGCTCGGGGGCAACTATCGGGTATCGATATTAGGGATAACCAAAGTAAGGAAGTTAGCGCCCACGCTGACTTCCCCGGATGGCTCGAGACGTATTAAAAGGTCTCGTCTGACCCCAAGGTCGTGGGCTCCGTCTCACCCGACCTTGAGGT